GAGGAACGGAAGAGCACAGAGACGCGGCCGTCAGGGCCCTGGTGCAGCGGAGGCGGCGCTGACACTGCCAGGGTCACCCAGGCTCCGTGGGGCCACTTCTGCTCCTCCTCAACAGCTCCAACTCTCACAGCCCAAGACAAACAGCTGCCACAGAGGACAAGGGGGAGCATCATCACCCCCCCGTTATCTGGGACGAGTCAGTCCTGGAGAAGGAGTCCGCGGAGCCCCGGCTCCAGGCTGGACACATGGATTTTGCCAGCACCTTCACTGCGGAGGGTGACAGCCACCTTCCGGAGGACTATGGAGATGGTGGAAGCCTAGGGGATAAAAACCTGCCCTCTGTCAGAAGACAATTTCTCTGTGTAATGTTGCCAGAGGCCTGGGATCACAAGGGAGAACAGCAGGCCTGGGGACTGGCAAGGAGCTTTCTCAAGGTGAGTGAAGACAACACACCAGACAAAGATGTCAAACGTTCTGCACAGAAGTCATTCCTACTTCTGGACTCAAAGGCAGAACACTGTGTTTTTCAGGGAACGCTATTATAGAGAGGAAGGCAAATGTAAAGGGCAGCGAAACCAAACCAGAAATAGGAGCTGACACACAATTTGCAAGGGGACGCTTGCTTTTTTTCCAGACTTACAGTGCAAGTGTTTGAATCCCTGTTCTTCATGTCCTGGTCACGGAAAGGCTGCCTCAGCTTCACCCACCGCTGCCCATGTGTGTCTGTGCCCAGCATCTGGGAATGAGGCTGCTGATGCGCAGGCAGGATATGGAGAAAAGGGGCTGGAGCGTAACCCGGGGCAGCACCAGGGTTCAGGGGCCCAGTGGATCCGAGGGCCGAGGGCAGGCTGAAGGGGGGCGGTGTGCCAGCGTGGAATCCCTGTTTGTCAAACGTCTGCATGGGAGGCAATGGAGAGCTCATGAGAGACTTGTGCGAGCAGCCCCCCGGTGACCAAACAAGAACAAGAGCGGCCTGAACACAGACCACTTGAACCTTTTGTCAACCCTGTGAGCAAGCCAAGTCAGATCGAATACCTGCGAGCACTTCAACAGATCAGTTTCAGATCCTGTTCTCACCCTTATTATTGCTCTAATGCCTGGAACTTTTCTAATTCTTCTATTTCATTTCCACAGCTACTGTGTTCCTTTTTTTGACCTTGACCTCCTTCTACTCAGTGGGACACAGAGGATAGAGTCTCCTGAAATCAGGCCCTTCGCTCATCATGGGGGCTCAGGCTGGAATTACTCAACCTGGTCACAGCTGCCCAGCAAGGACACAAGAAGAAATTCCAGCAAGAACTTCGTTCCCTGTGGCCAAAGCTTCACACTGGTGCCAAGCGGTGTGTGAGAGAGGCCGCAGCATCCTACCCACAGGCACAGATCACAGCCAAGATATCACACGGGGCTCATTTCCCACTACAAAGGGTGCAAAGAGCCAGTCCTCCGAAATGGGAGGAAACAGCAGCAGGATGCAACCCCGCTGCTTGTCAAGGGCTCTCTGCATCGCCTGGCAAACCCCAGCACAGCCACAGCCACCAGACGGCCACACAGCCGCAGGGGGCGCAGGCTGCCCATGGTGCCCATCACGGACCCACAGGTGACAGGGGTGGGCCCTGCTTCTTGGTCTCTCTGCAGAGAAGCAAAAGGCCTCTTAAGTTGGTGGCTCTGGGACTAAAAATGCTTTTCCCATTTGATTTGCACCCAGGGTACAGCATATACAGGGTGACAGCACAGAAAGCTCTGCCTGCACCAGCAGCACCCCCCTTCAGGAGTTGATGCGGAAAGGCTGGTGGGATGGAAGATGGGACTTCTCCCTAAAACCAAATTGAGCAAGTGTAAATAAATAAATAGAAAAATCTGCCGCCTACAGGATGAACAGGCCTGGGAATTGCTCCTGTCTGCCATAGGGGAAGTCCTGCAGAGTTGCCAGTGAGCAGGGAACCATCGGCTTGGCCTCAGGCCAGGGGGAGGAGGGTTCAGCATTCCTCACCTGTGTCTTGTTATAGACTGAGCCACTGATATCAGGCACACCTGTGTTACTTGAGGTCACAGAAACACCTGGAAAACAAAAAGCCACTGACAATGAGAAAGCCAAATGCCACCTGACTTGAACCTTGTGCTTGCTTTGCTGCGGGCACCTCAGGGGGATGGACCTTCATTCTTGGTCCCTGCACCTCATGCTCTACTGGGCTGGCTTTTCTGTGCTCCCAGACCTGCAGCACCCCACACAGGAATACAGAAAAGGGCTCAATTCTTCACTCTCCATCCAATGCAAAGCAGGGAACCAGGCCCCTGGACTAAGTCATCCATGTCTACAGGCAGATTACAGCTTGGATTCAAACACACTTTACTGGGCAGCAGCTGGATGCATAGAACACTCATTTAGTTCAAGAAAAGCCATTTTCCCCCTAGGATTAGAAACACATTTGGCTCTATTACAGAATTCAAGACCTTTCCAGTAGCTGAATTTCATTGCTCAATGCGCATCTGCCACACATCTGTGCTTTTGTACTTCTGCAACATGCAGAAGGGTGAGGTCTGCAATGCTCCTTCACCCATAGGGAATTAAATTTTACCACAGATTGAGGTTGGCTTCCACCTGGATCACCTGGTGCCACAATAAGCTCAGAAACAGTCACTTTCTAGCAAGGCGACTCTCAAGCTGGTCACTCACTCCTGCTCTTATAAAGACCAGCTCTAATCATGTTACTTTGAAGAAAAGCAGTGGTTCCTCAATCAGAGGACTGGATTTGATGTCTGCACTGCTATACGACTGTACCTTTCCTAGAAGGCAGCTCCTCTTTGCAGGCCACAGTTTGAGCAACTTTCAGTTGAAGACTTAGGTATTGTTCAGTACAGTTGGTGCTTCAAATGTACAGCAAATACTTGGTCTTTGCTTAAGCCCCGGGATGAACTAGTTAGTGCTAAGCAGTTTACTGTATATTTCTCAAGTCTAACCAGCATGTGCAGAATAAAGCTTGCATATAAGTTGTATAAATTTTTTAGCTTTTACAGTTACTAAGAAAACATTTCCAGGCATGAAACAATGCAATGAGTTATCGAGTGAACAGAGAGCAGCTGAAACAACAGCTTAGAGATGCGTGAACTGCCCTGCTCATTCCTAACACAGAGCTAACTCAGGTGCCTAATAACAATATCAAAATCCAGTCTCATTTGGCAGAGGACCATTTGAGCAGCAGTATCCGACTGCTCAGGGTCCAGTGACAGGGCACTGCTGCAGGACCACTGCTATTCACCAAACCCAAATTTTGGCAGAGGAAACAGTTCACCATTTCTCCCATGTGTGATTGTGAACAAAGCTGCATGCCAGCCACACGAATCCTTACGCAAAGTTCAGCCATTTGGTTTAGAAGAAACATTTGGGACATTAAAAAAGCATTTTGTATACGGGAGATGGAGAAACAGCGTGGATTTTGACCCTGTTTATAGCTGGCTGCTGTGCTGACTGCACAGCACTGGCAATGCTGGGAATGTGCCCTGCTTAATCCCACTCAGAGTGCCCTTGAGTCTCATGTGTTACCTTTCCCAGGTCCAGTGCCAGCAGATTTGTTTTGTGCTTGAGATGACCCACTGTAGCCTCCTTTGCTGTAATCTCCAGCTGCCGTTCCCTGCGTTAAGTCATCATAGCCTGCCGGTGTGTACAAGACAACGTGTTACAGAGTGCAAGCAGCTCTGCGGACGCGCCGCTGGAGAGCATGGGAGAGAGCCGTACCTGCTCCGTAGCCGTGCTGCCCATAGCCACTCGCCTGCTGGAAGGGCGTCGAAGCTGTGTTCAGATTGACTCCGTGCTGCTTAGCCGATGCTGGAGGCACCTAGACAAAGAAGGGGAACAAAAGGCATTCCGACCGGGAAACAGGAGAAGCAAGCTCCGTCTGCCATCTAGTGGGGAAGGCTCCTTGGATTGGAAATGTGAAAACTGGAGCAGCTTTGGGATGTACCAAGCAGCATGGAGGAGGTGGCACTCGCTCTGCAAGCTGCAGCTTCCCACGGTGGCTCTGGGTAAGCCCTGGACTTCCTGCTGCCTGCGGCAAGAGTGCAAAGAACCCCCCGGCTTTGGTGTCAGCCACATCTCAGAAGAGGCCATGCATTTCTTTTGTGCATGTATAAAACCCAAGCAGCAAGTTCTTACCCATGAAGCAGAAAAGGGCCAGCCACAGCACTCACCATCCAGAATCAAACAAAACATCAGCCTGGAAAGTCCTGCTTGAGGCAGTTTCATAAAACACAATCCTACGAGGCCCTAAAATAGAGGCATCGACCCTTCTACCTTGAGCATCTGACTCAGCTTTGCACCTCCCTTTGACTCTCTGAAGGCTGCTATAAGGTTTAAGGAACACAATGACTCAATGAGTATAGTTCATATATACAGTAGCCTGGGTAGGAGTCCATAAATTCTAGCCTTTTATATTTCCTCTTTTCTTGGGGAAGGGATTGTGATTATCAGGCTTGCACAACAGTTTCGTTGGAAACCCCTTGCAAAACAGGGAAGATTTGGGTGGTCAGGACTGGACAGAGCAAAACCAGAGAAGCATAAAAAAGGATTATGGTTTCGGCTGTCATACTTACGAACATGGTTGGCCCATACTGGAATGCACTGGGTACTCCTGGCACACCAGCGTAATAAGGTAACCCAGTATAGCTGTATCCTGGGGGCAGGGTAGGGTTGAGGAAGGGCTGCTGAGTTGTATGATGAGTCTGTGTCTGGTTCTGCTGCGGCTGGGCTAGCGTGGTGGCAGGAGCAGGGGAGGCAGAATCCCCACGACCAAATTTTGTTACATCACCTGCAAAAGAAATAACTCATCAGAAAAACTATAAAAGTCACTCCCAAGAGGATCCTCCAAATCCAAATAAATAATGACAAAACAGACTCTGTCTTACACTTGAAAGACTACATGTTTTCACGAGAAGAGCTCTCCTGATCCCTCTACTCCTAACAGCCACGGTTGGCATTGCTTGTCTTGACAGAGAACTCTGTGGCATGGTTAATCCATCGATAGAGTGGAGGTATCAATACTTACCTCTCTGTCACAGACCGAGAAGATTCCTCACTGTTAGACCATTGCAGTAAAAACATGCTGAAAGCATAAGCATGGTAATAACCAAAGAGCAAATGGTTACTGGGTTAAAGCATGGCTTTCCTAAAGGTTAACCCAATTAGTTAAGCTTCATGGGCCGAGAGCAAGTTAGGTTTTACAGGCAACGACAGGCATATTTTGTCAATGTCTGTTTATTTGTCAAGCATGAGTAATTAGATGTCTGATTCCTCACACCACCAAAGGTCTGGAGACAGTAGCTGGAGGCCAGGAAAGCAAGGCTTGCATCGTGGGCCACCTTATTGAAGAAGTAGGAAGGGAAATTTGGTTATTAACCCCAAAGCAGCCTCCTGAGAGAGGTGAGTAACCAAGCAGAAAACTCCAACACACTTGCTTTTTTTGGCAGCCTAACGAAGTATCATATTCACTCCTTTTTAGGGAGGTGGCATGTATCACATCTGTCTCATTCCTGCCCAATACTCCTTTTGTTAGCTGCCAACAAGATATGACAAATTTCAATAGCTGCAGTATGAGAACTGTATGGCTGCAATCAAATACCAGCAGGAGAAAACCACAAGCTGAAAATCCCAAAGAGAATTAATGTACTCTGTACAGGTGGATAATTGAAAGACATGCTTTGAGATGAGGACGGGGTTCTTAGACCACACATGCTTTTCGAAATTAAGTCCCTCAGGCTCAGGGAGGGAGTAGGGAGAGCCTGCTAAACTCAGCTCCTGGTGGAAATATAGAAGTGCAAAAGTAGCAACAACAAAGTAAGGGGAGCAGATGATAAAGGTCTGAAAGGGTCTATTCTAGGGGCAAAAAAAGGAAAGAACACTAGAAAGCTAGCTGAATTTCTAAAAAAGAAAAAAAAAGCAAGCTATGAAATGATCTTTATGTGCTTGGGAAAGGCACTAGACAAGACTGTCATTTATATTTTAAATATTTTTGCACTTGTTATCAAAGGCCATCAAATTGTCCAGTTTTACTCCCAGAAGGAGTCATGTACAAATTACCATCCAAAACTATAGAGGAAAATCCACATTAGCTGCTTGTAGAAGGGACAAATGACTGCTCTTTCTGTAGTGGCTGATGATCTACATTTAAGTTACCATCATTGTCCCAAGACGGCACTCACCTGAGTACGGGTTGTTAGCAAGGCTCCCATCTCTGCCTGTTAAGGTTGCAGGAGCAGGGAATGTAATTCCATAGTAATCCTGAGACAGACAGAGAGCAAGAGAGAGAGACGGGGAGGGAGACACAGAGAGAGAGACCGAGAGAGAGACCGGGAGACAGGGAGAGAGACCGGGAGACAGGGAGAGAGACCGGGAGACAGGGAGAGAGACCGGGAGACAGGGACAGAGACCGGGAGACAGGGACAGAGAGACAGGGACAGAGAGACAGGGACAGAGAGACAGGGACAGAGAGAGAGAGAGAACATCATTTATTAACAGTCAAAATCATAACAAAGTCAGTTCTTATGATAACTATATGGATAAAAAAATTAAAACAAAAAGAACATGAGACAAAGAACTACTTCAGGGATGCTTTTAATATCAACTACAAATTTGCTGTAGCTGTCGGTGTAGCTGGCCATATCCCTGTCACTTGTACGTCCCCAGGGGACACACACAGCCCTGCTCCCAGCTGAACCTGCAATGCGGAGAGCGGCAGCTGCATCTGCCAGCCTGGG